GAGTCTCCCTGGATTTGTTTCTCTAGTCTACCCAGACTGACACATGTAGGGTATTCAATTAGTTTGGTATATTAGAATCAACTCAATGGCAATGGGCTTTTAGGGGTCTACTAAACAGCTTTATACAATGTGATTTTAAAATACCATTCACAACTCATTAGAGATTATTTCCTTTGTACCTATTTACATTCATGTGAAAACTTTTTTTGTGGTAGTTATATACTCTTTTGTCAATTTGAGACTTAAGAGTGAAGGGAGTTTAGCCTGTCAATCAGGTCACAGCTTGATGATCTCATTTGGAGGTTCTAAGGAGATAAATAGCTTGCTGGATGCAGGATACATGCACACTCCCTGGGAGACATTCCTTCTGACAAGACACAGGGAGCTACTCTAGAGCCCTGGGAGCTGGAGGAGCCACGTGGAGACCCCTGCCAGCACTGACATCCTTCTACTGCCACTGGATCCACAAGACTTTCCACCCACTGGCCTGTGATCTTCCTGCATTTGGCATTATTGTATGACTGTATGAATCTGAAGAGGAATTTATAGACTAGTATTGGACATATGGGCTAATATTGGTCTTATGGATTTAATCTGTACTGGGCTAGGATGTTTTCTTAATATGCTCTTTATATAAAGCTCTTTCTTACACACACGAGTGCCTATGAATCTGTTTCTCTAGTCAACCCAGACTAACACACTTTTTAAGATATAAATCCAAAAGCATGTAAAGGGAATGCATAGCTTTCTCTGAGGGAAATCTAAGTCTCGCTTCCCCACAAAGTGCCTATGTATTACTCCACAATAATCCTTCAATCCTCTGAGTACATTGTGCTCTCTTTGCTTCATGAATTCCAATATGCTATCCTCATGTAAAAAGTTCTTCCTTATCCCAGCATAGCTAACTCCAACCCGCAAGTGTCATCTTAAAAATCATTGCATGAGAAGCCTTCTTTGTTTGAGTGTATATTAAATCTGCTTAATGTGTTTCCATAGTTCCATGATATATAAGTTCTACTTGCTCTCCCCAAGGGCACTAATTGCTGGGGCCTTCCAGGTGGGAGATTCTATTTTTAGCCAGTGCCCTACAGGCACAGCCACTACTCACCTATTAGTGGAGGCTTGTGATTTGCTTTGATGACAAACCAGTTTCAGTAGGGTTTTCAGCGTAAACAGTCTAGGAAGGAAGACTTGGATCTCCACTTTTAAAAAAGGGAAAAAAGAAAATGAAGAGCTAATGAAAATGGCCTGATCCTGTCGAGCATGAGGTTCCTATGTGGTAGGGGGCTCACTCAATAGTAGCTAACAAGGGTCCCATATTTCCCCCTTTCATAAAATAACTTCTAAATGTAATTCTTTGTGAAACCTATACATATCACAAAGAAAGGTAAACGCTAGACAGGCATAAATAGAACCAGTCTTTCCACTGTCACATCCCTGCACCTAGCACAATGCATAAACACCAGGTCAGTTTCACTCTTCAAGAACGATTTACCCTGCTTGTTGCTGACCTCTGTGAAGTGATCACTGAAGGTATGGGTGCTATAGCCAAGTGTGGTGAACAAACTACCGGCCGACGGTGTTTGGCTATCAGAACAGGGTCTTGGGTCTTAAAGGCTTATCTTAAAACAAGCCGCCATCTAAGTCAGGTATCAGCCAAGTCCATCTGTCTATGTGATCCAAGGACTGTAAGTAATAAAAACCAAACCCAGAGGAGGAAATGGTATTAGAGCCCAATTCTGAACACCCAGTTTGCAGAAGGCTATGGATGACAGTGAAAACCCAAAACCCATTTGCAGGGTGCCCCACATGGATTAAGCCTCAGGTGAATCCCCTCTGACTATGGATCAAGGATGGGGAAGGAGTTGTTATCAGAGAGAGTACATTGGAGGGTGGATTACTTGTAGTTAGGTAACAGTGGGACACAATGTCACTGGATTTCTCTTGATCCAATGTGTATTTTCCCAGTTTTTATTATTTTATACTTTGTTGTCAATTGAGAGTTTTCTATTTCATTCTGTCATTGTTGGGTTGTTTGTGTTTTGATTTTGTATGTTTTTCGGTATATGAAACCTGGGATAGGTAAATCTAGAGAGAGAACCACTGTATTAACAGTTTCAAAGGGGCATGACAGGGGAGGTGGGCAGGGATTGGAGCTGACAACAATGAGTACATGACTGCTGTATGATATGTGAACAGAATGCCATTGAAATTGTCAAAAACAATTAAAAGGAAAAAAAGAACCATTTCAGCAGAACGGAAAGGACGTCAGAATGCTGGGATTAACAAAAGTACCAGGTAAGGAAGAAGGCAGAGGGTGTAGGATGATCATAGCTTAACGAATTTGAGTACAAAATGGGGGAAAATAAAAACAAACCAAAGCAATGGAAGGTAGTGGCAGCAAGGGCGAGAGGATCTGCACTGTTAATAGGAAGAGAGGAGGATAATAGCCGAGGAAACAATAATGTTTGGGGCTTGGAGATAAAGGAGGGATACAAGAAATTTAAGAATGCATTAGGCATTCATTTAATGTTCAACTATCTTGGTAAGAGTTACACATTGAAACATTTTTGCTAACAAGCCCACATGGAAGAAGCACACCAACCTGTACAGTCATGAGGTGGCTACAGAATCAGGTAACAGGCACCAGAAGACCCCAAACAAACAAACAAAAACATATTGTTGAGAATGAGGGGGTTGGAGCAGAGACCCCAAACCCATCTGTAGACAATAGGGCATCCCCTCACAGATGGGTCACAAGGAAGAGATGAGTCAAATAAGGCACAGGATAGTACAATGAAACACACAACATCCTCTGGGTTTTTAAGGCTTCCTCATCTCCCACTACCATGACCCCAGCCCTGCCTTTCAGTTCTGGCTAGACCAAAGCATGTGCACTGGTACAGATAAGAGCTCATGACACACGGAATCTGGGTCAGATAATCTCCTCAGGAGCAGAAATGACAGTAGGGATACTCCTGGGATACTCCTGGAGGGTAGGGGGAAGTTGGAGGGAGAAGGGGAGGAAGGGGGAACTGATCACAATAATCAACACATAACACCCCCCACCAGGGGGACGAACAACAGAAACATGGGCGAAGGGAGACAGCAGTTGGTGTAAGAGATGAAAATAATAATTTATAATTGATCAAGGGGTCACAGGGGGGAGAAGGGAAAAAGGGAGCTGACACCAAAGGCTCAAATAATAAATGTTTAGAAAGTGATGGCAACATATGTACAAATATGTTTGACACAATTGATGTATAAATGTTGTAAGAGCTATAAGAGCCCCCAATAAAATTATATATATATATAGATAGATAGATAGAGAGAGAGAGAGAGAGAACCATTTTTGCTGCTAACCAAAGGACAGTAGAAAGATCCAGAAGATCTAGTTTTGGATTCCCTCCCCTTTCTAATCAATAACCAACTTATTTTTCGTGAAGATCATAAAAGTATGAAATACTTAAGTATTATACTCACACATGTGAACACAAGTACTTTATGTATTTTACAAATAAGGCTTCACAACAAAAATTAGAATCAAGTTCATTAGCAGGGCCCTGTGGGAAGCGAAGCAAAAGTGCATTTTAAAAGGTCCTATGAAATAAATGGTGTGGAAAGAACCTTTTAAAAATCTGCTAGGCTTTGCACAAACACGTAATTATCATCATTACCTGGGCGGAAGAAAGGAGCTTAAGTCTGAAATACTTTGTGGAGAATGAAAGTTAAGGAAGAGACTGCAGAGAAGCTGTGTGCGCTTGCTGGGTGGTGGGTGGGTGGGTGGTGCAGGGGTACGTAGGGGCTGTGAAAGTCATCTTGAGTCAGAACAGGACAATTTTGCTAAGGCTTAGTATTGGGTAGAAGATCTCCCGTGCTTTGCCTGTGCTAGGGAACTTTGAAAGTATGTTCCACAACTGCTTCACTTCTGTCTTGTTGGCCTTCCATAGAAAGTTTAGTGAATTTTAATTAAATTCATCAACTCCCTTAACTGGGATGCTGAGATCTGCAGCATACTTTTTTTAGTATGAGCTTTTAATTAAAATTAGAATCTTATTGTAAATAATACACTTTTATTTGATACTCAAAAATTTCTAAATAGCCTTAAGTATATACATACATATTTCTTCTGCAATTGTCTGTAACAGTGGTTCTTGACCTTCTTAATGCTGCGACCCTTTCATACAGTTCCTCATGTTGTTGTGATCCCCAACCATAAAATTATTTTCGTTGTTACTTTTTAAAAATCATTTTATTGGGGGCTCATCCAACTCATCACATACTTTTATGTCCCAGCGTGGTGTCTATGCACCCCAGATTGGGGACATCTTGACGTGTCCGCTCAAGGACGCATCCCCCAAGGCATGCAAGCAGGAGCCGAGGCGCTCCAGGAGGCCCGAGAAACCTTCACGCTCACAGTTCCACTAAGAGGCTGGGCGGGTTGCCAGGTCGCATCTCCTTGCCTGCACCCACCTTCAACCCGTTCGGCAAGACTGCACCAGCCCTTCCCGCGTCTACGGGGCAGGAGGACCTTCCAAGCATGCGCAGTGACTAGCCCTGCAGCACGCGCGCTCCGGAGTCGGTTACACTTCAACGGGCGCTGCATCTCGGCCAATCAGGAAGCGTCTTATTGCCCCGGAGTCCCGCCCCCGAGCAAGGGAAATATGGTGCCTGGCGAGGGTCATGCAATGTAACCACTCCTGAACTGCCCGAACCCAGGAAGGACTGCCCCGAGGCCGCGAGCAGCTCGCCGGGCACCGCGGGCACTTCCTCCTCGCTGGGCCAGCGTCGGGCGCTGCGGC